TTGTCATTATCCTCCCTTGTATTTATCCATATGTTGTAGATATCCTAATCATTATAGGATTAGGATAATCATCCCCTTTATTTGTAGCAATCCTTATCTCCTAAGGAATATGCTTTATTCTCTTGTATGTATATATATATGTGTAACCACGTGATTAATAATACAATGAGAGTTACAACCTTCTTTATTCTTTAACAGTATTCTATTAAAGAATGAATTTTACTGCGAGAATTTTGAGGATAATTGCTGTCAGTTTTTAAAGGATAATAATAAATATTAATTTAAAATTATTTACAAAGTAATTTTAAATTTTTTCCTTAAAATTAAACTATTTTAAGTTAAAAGCATTTTAAGATTTAAAGCTTGGACACTGGCAAATAAATAGCATGGAAAAAATTGACAGAAGTTCAAAAAAAAAAAATTAATAGCGTAACGTAAGAAAAATAAGGTAAAAAGTGTACATAATTACGAAAATGGAGGTAAATAAGGTAATTGCTTACCTGGCTCTTTTGCGGGTATTCGAACACGGATCCTCGCGGATGAGACCGAATCAGCTTAATGATTTCTATCAACGGCTGTGATTTAATTCCGCCCGGTTTATTATCGCCGCTTCCACCGTAGATATTAGCTTTCCTCTTCCGATGACCTGTGGACGTTCCCGACTCACCCAACTCGCTGGAGTGACTCATCCCCGATCTTCTACTAACTGTCTCCTCCACAGCCGCCGTCGCCTTACGATCGGGATCTAAATTTCCTGAATTGTCATTGGCATGAACCGTTTGATCCCCGCCTAATCGCTCGTGATCGGCGATTTCATCAACGGAGGCCGTGGAATTGGACTCGTTCATCGACGGCAGCGATCTAACTATCTTAGAGTCGTCTTCCAGATCTGGCTTATCGTCTCCATCGTTCTCCTCCTCTAGTTTCTTAACTTTTATGATAACCCGCGCCATGCGCGGAGTGAGCTTTTTAAAAATATGTTGTATTTAAATATATATTTTGCTATCAATATGGACATTTGGGTACTATTTGGTTCGGTTAGATTATGTTTGGTTTAGATCATTGCGGTTTGGTTTGAATTTTTACAGATTCAGATTGGGTTTAAGTTTGCATAACCCATTTAATTTTTTTATAAAAAAGATTAAAATTCATATATACTTTAAGTTTTTCAAAACCTAAAAGTAGAAATAATATATAACATAAATTTGAAAAATGAATGACAAAATACTTAAAGTTAACATAAAATTGATTTATCATAAATATTTGGACAAAAAATCAATAAATATTTCAAATATTTTTGGTATTTAGAGTATCGTTTAGCTATTTTAAAAATTTGCATTTAACTATTTTACATATTTCTAAGTATTTTAGAATTTTTAAAACATCTCATGTGTTTTGTATATTCTTAGATGTTAAATTTAAAAATAATTAATATATTTAAGAATATAAATCTGGTTCGAGTACACTCGGATACCCGAAATTTTTCGATTCAGTTTTGATTATCTAGATAGCAAAATTTCGAATTCGCTTGGATATCTAACCAATTTTGCTTAAAAATTTGTATTCATTTTTTGGTTAGATTTGGTTCGGTTATTTGGATTTAGTTTTTTTTGTCCAACCATATTTTTTTTATTATACTAAAAATTAAAACGAAAGGGATGATGGTTCATATTGATTTTGGGTATGCAAAAAATTTTAAAAAACACACTCTATTATGGGTGATCTATTTAGTTAATCAGTATGAACTGTTTAAGACCCATTAGAAAAACGATTGGCTGAACTAAAATCGTTACCATTGATCACAAAATTTCAGTGTGAGATTTTTACCATCTTAAGTAATTTATGGTCGTTTTAAAAAATTTAAAATATAATGTATAAGAACAAATATAAAGTTTTTTATTTTATAATTAATGTGATTTTTTAATTTCTTTTAATAATAAAAATTAAATAAAACATAAAGAGTATTAAAAAATTGTTATCAAATATTTATTATTCATAAACATTAATTGTGATATATATGTTAATCATATTAGGTAATTCCGTAGCTTTTATTTAAGGAAAGAATAAAAAATCTTCTTTTGTACACTACTAATTAAATATGATAGTTGGTATAATAAAAATAAACGTATGTTTAGTTGGACCAACATATTTCTCTAAGAGTTATNCATTAATTGTGATATATATGTTAATCATATTAGGTAATTCCGTAGCTTTTATTTAAGGAAAGAATAAAAAATCTTCTTTTGTACACTACTAATTAAATATGATAGTTGGTATAATAAAAATAAACGTATGTTTAGTTGGACCAACATATTTCTCTAAGAGTTATGAAAATCATTCTCATTGTGACACGTGGCTACCAAAAAATGTTGTAATGCTCCAACATATAGGAGATTTAAACTATTAATCAAAAATATTATAATTGAAAATTTTCAATGTTTTATTAATTTATAGTCGTTTTTAAAAATTTAAAATATAACATATATAAAAATCTAATTTTTTGTTATATAGTTAATGTTATTGTTTAATTTATTTTTATAATTAAATTTAACAAAAATAGTAGATGCTATAATTTTTTTTTATCAAATCTTCATATTCAAATCATTAATTGTCATATATATATTGTAACCATATTAGGTAATTCCGAAAATTTTATTTAAGGAAATAATGAATAGCATTAATAATAGTTTTATGTTTAGGCTAATAAAAAGTATATTATATATTTATATGGACCAACATTTTTCTCTAGTAAATTTGAGAAGCATTCTCATGCTGACACGTGGCTACCAAAGAATGTTGTAACGCTTCTCAAATAATATATAGGGGATCTGAAGCGACCTAATAAAAACAAAAAAAAGTTCAAAAATTCAATGTAATTTTTTTAAAAAGAAACTAAGATCCAGCGGCGGAGATATAGAGATTCTCCATACAGTATCGACTCGTCGCATCGCTGAACATCTCGCCGGAGCTCCGCCACTCGAAGACTCCGTAACTGCTCGAGCCAGGGGATTTCCTCCTCCTCCGCCACAGCTTCGTTATTTCCTCGTCCGTCGTCGTGGACGGAGTCTTGGAACCGACGCTTGAGATCTTGATACTTGAGCCTGCAACTCGGAGCGGAGGCTTTGAGAGAGCTCCGGGAGACAACCTCCTTTGCGACGGCATCCCAATCTTTAGAACCATGGCGTTTAACGGCGCATGTTAACAGTAGCTCTTCCCACGTTCCCCATGCTTCACTGATCTGGTTAAAATTACCGTTACCGTCTCCGTTACGATTTTTACCACAATCAGTGGAACTGTAAATATTGGTAGTATGGTCGTTGTTCATATCGTTCGATGTTACTCCCTCTTCTCCCCTCATCATCTTCTCCTTTCACTTGCCTAAACCAACACGTTCGCAGTTTTTAGGGACCTTTTTATTTTTATTTTTTTTAAAAGAAAATTATATATCTAGCTCTGTTTTTGAACACTTTATATAACAAATCTTTTGAAAATGATGATTATTTTTTAGGTCTTCTTACTGCTATTTTATTCTTTTCATATGAAATGGTATAGACCTACGTACAAGATTTTCACCTTCGCTTTACCACTTCTGTCTAGTCTGGAGATATATAACTGAGACGAGTCGCGTCACCTAACACGTTGGTTGCCTCGCTTCGTGTGCAACAGTATACGGAGGCGAGAGAGTAGGAAGGGATATATATATATTGACTGGAATACCCCTCAAGGGTTATTGAAAATGGAAGTGTCCAAAATGGAATGTTCGTTTTCATCCACATGTGGCTTGGGCTTGGACGTTATCTTCAAAGAAAGATGGGCTTCAAACTATGTATTCGGCCCTCACTGAACTGAACCGGATACGGTTCTTTTCACAAACTGGTCCAGCTTAGCCGATCGGACCAGGATTGGTCACCTCACCTCAACTATAAATAAGTTTGTTCAAAAAAAAAGAAAACTATAAATAAGTTACATAACTTTGAAACACGAACGATTCTGTGAAAAAGAGTTACAGAGGACTTGATAGTTTTGATTTGATGACATGATTTAAATTATTTTAAGTAAACCCACCCACTAAACATTTAGTTCACACTCACCCACAAAGTTAAGGAGCAGGATTCAACGACTACTCTAGCCCTTTTCTGTTTTAGTATGCGACTTCGTACTCATTTCATTGACTTAACACTAAAAACAAATCCATGGATGGAGGCTTAAGAGCCAATAGGTTAACTTGTTTTTTTTTTTTAATTATTCAGGTGATCCCTAGTTTGAAACTACAACATGTAATATTAGTTTTGTCATAGCGATCACTTGAACTATGAATATTTGACACAATGACAGAATTATTTCCAATTAAGTTAACGGCTTCTGGTTAGGTTACTTTGTCAATGCTATGATTTAATAGTTTAGTGTATTGCAATCCGAGAAATACTGTTTATTCAATTGTTGGCATTATTTCGTTTATAACCAAAAAAGACAACTCCAAATAAAAACGAACATTCGTTTTGTAAAATGTGCTAAAAGATATCCCCATCAACTGGAAGACAAGGCTGGTAATCTTTACCAACACGTTAGGTATTAACTCAGCGGCTTATGCTCATGAACTTATCGAGCCAGTCCATGTTTACACTCTTTGGTCTCTCAAGGGGCAGTCCAAGAGCTCGGTCCCATATCAGCTGAAACCAAAAACAAAGCGAGAAGATAAGCTTGACTGATCTAATGATCTGTACTAATTGTGGATTTAATATAACACCTGTGAGCAGATTCCAAGACTCCTTGAGACGCCAAAAAGAACCGTGTAGTATCTATATTTGACACACACACACACACAAATGTCATTATATCCAGCTAAAAGAAGGTCCAAAGCCTATAGTCTCATTTTAAATGACTACAGTTCCTACTTTGCTTCGGTTAGACCATAATAGTTGAGCAGCACTCCACTGTGAGCATCAACGTTAGGCCAAGGGTTCTTGACCTGTAAAAGCGATTTCAAGATTCATAAAACCAGAGGGATGAGAAATTTGGTAGCATTATTATGAAGTAATGATGGAAATATAGTACGGTACCTTTCCTAGCTCGGTTAGAATAGGAGGTACAACTTCATAAAGCTTAGACACCTGTTGAATTGTTTAAAATATTTGTAACTATTGCATTTACAACAAGTTCAAGAACATGACCAAAGATTAGAATTAATTAAAAGAAGTTACCAGCTGAAAAAGAGGGTCATCAGGTAGATGCTTCAAGGCGAACTCTCTTTGGCATACATATCTTGGATCTGTCTTACGCAAAACACCATGGCCATATCCTGGAACTACCTGCAAGACCAAATGTTTGGACACAATCCATTCTTTCATGCATTACTCCTATAATAATTGGCATGTCATGACAACAGGCAATACATATGGTCTGTTTTTACATAATTATCTACTCAACTTTCATCAAGATCATGTCAGCTACAGGTTCATAATTGGCATGTTTTTACCTTTCCACTGTTTAAGGTTTTCCAGACATAATCTTTCAGATGTTCCTTTGATATATTTTCTCCACATTCTGCGACGACTGATTTGATCCATAGCAAAACTTCCTGGAACAAGATTATAATGCACGATAAAAACATAATTAAGATTCAGTTCTCAGTTGTTTGCAACTCTAACTATCAGTTAGTGCAATAATAATATCAGAAGTCTACCATTTTTCTTGAAACTATCTGCTATATATATATACTTGTAAATTTGAAAAATGTTCCAAGGGATAGATAACAAAGGGGTTACCTGATTAGCCAAACCATGGAGTGGTCCAGCTAAACCATTTAAGGCAGCTGCAAATGAAAGATATGGATCTGAAAGTGCACTCCCAACCTAAATACATAAATATCCTCAGGCAAAAAAAAAGAACCATCAGAAATGTCTAAGAATTTCGAAACAATATTGCACTTTAGAATTCATCAAGAAGAAGATTATGTAGCAAGCATGAACATACCAAGTGACCAGCGTGAGCACTAACATTTCCACCTTCATGATCACTGAAACAAAACCCATTAGAAAAGGAAAAAAACCTTGATCAAGATGCTATAGAAGTTTTGTAAAAGGTTCTAGGTTGTGAATGTTTAACGAGACATGTTGAGACGCATAGAACCAACACAAACCTGTGAATGGTGACATAAAGCCTCATGAGCTCTTTCATCTGAGGACTATCAAATCCCAGCATGTGTGAAAAATTAGCACCATAGTCCAAAGAATCGTCTAATGGAATGATGCTACCATCCTTAAACATCCTGCAATATTAAGTAGTATGTAAATTTAAGAACAGTAATTAGAAAGTCCATAAGCTAAACACATGGAAAAGGCACACAAAACCTAACCTCCGATAAACGTATGAAGCTACAACAGGAACACGAGCAATCAAGTTGAGGGCATCCTCAAAGGTTGACTCCCAGAACCTGCAAGGAAAAGATGAGTCGTTATGATTCTAGCTACTATAATACAATCAAGGGAAAAAAAGAAGTAGAAATACTGATCAAGTTTATACTTTGACTTATGAACAGCACCCTCCTCATACGTCTTCTGGAATTCACTTTCAACCTGGATTAACAATTCAACAAAGATAAGATGTTAACTGCGTGAAGAGATAAATAGGCTAAGCTCGTTAATAACAAAGTCATCTACCTGGAGGGCCATAACACCGCTAGCAAACTGAGTCATTGGATGAGCAGTTGATGGCAAAGCATTGATAGCTTTGTAGACATAATCTGTAAAACACGTCTACGGTTGTTGCAAAGCATCATCTAAAGCATAGTTGTTACGTTTGCAACATTAATCCATCTAAAGGAACTGCAAACCTGGCACAGCAGCACGACTAGCTAGCTCCTTTGACAATGCATCAACTTGCTCTTTGCTAGGTACCTAAATTTAAAAAGAGGGAAACTATACTTTAGGATAATTAATATACTGAAGGAAACTAAATAGTATGATAAAAATGGTAAGATAAGTCAACCTTTCCCGTTAACAGAAGCCATAGAAGACCTTCAGGCAAGGGCTCTCCTCCAGGCTGAGCTGCAGGCAATACTTTCTGGCATTCAGGAATTGACATGCCTCTAAAGCGTATCCCCTGAAATAGAGATTAGAGCATATGATAAATAAACTATAAACACAAGAGCATATGTTATATATTCTATATCCTATGAACAAATATATATTTATACATACCACTTTAGTGTATCAAACAAAAAAGAAAAAAAAAACATACCTCTTCTGCATCAAGCAATGAGGTTTCCCAGAGTAAACCAGTCATCCCTCTCATTCCACCAAGTACCTTAGATCACAAATGTTGCATATAGAAAAGTGAGTAATATATATGAGTTGAGAAATCCTTCTTGATTCCTTAGAATCCATACCATATCAACAGTGATGTTCCCCACTGGGACAGTTCCATGTTGTGATTTCAGTTTCTTCAAACGGTCCTGAAATAGGAAGTTGTGAGTGAGTAAGACAGCAACTAAAACATATAAAGATCTTCAATCTTAGAACCAAAACAAAAAGTTTCAATCAAAGGGAAAGAACCTGTTGTTCTGGAATCATCTCTTCCAGCTGAGACTTTAGGTCCTGCATTCCCATTTTTCATAACCAACATCAACACCAAATCATAAGAATGGAAAAAGAGAACTTCCACATAGAAAAAAGCTTCTCACTTCTTTTTTATCTCAAAATGAAACATGAGCAGTAAAAAAACCCTTAAAATACCAATTCGGAAGAGGCTTGCGTCTGAAGCCATCTAACGGAGTTGCTAAGAAAATATTGCTTCACCTGCTTATATTAGATCAGACCATCATTCGATTCAGGTAACGAAAAAACGTTACAAACACAAAAAAAAAAAGGAAAGCTAAAGATCTACTCACCACTGGAGATCGAAGCCTTGAAATGGACAAGCCACGAAGAAACACCATTCTTCAAAACTCACACCTGATCACCATTTTTTTTTTCTCAAACAAGACTGATCCGTTAAGGTTTCAAGCAATATCGACACTAAACAAGACTGATCCTTTAAAATATCTTTAGATACTAAACAAAAGAAAATAGAATTTTACATGATAGTGGGATGAATAAGGGAACGAGAGAAAGCGTGGAGATTTTATTACCGGAGGTTCGAAAGTTTTTTCGGTTCAGCGATCAATCGAGAGATGATGAAATATTTGCAATGTGAGGAACAAAGTGTTTCTGTGTTCATCAGGTGCTAACAAAATTCAACAGAACCAACCCTAAACACGGGATTCTTACTACTAAACCGGAACACTAAACTAGTTTAATAGCCAAACCGATCAGGTTACATTCGGTTCAGGTCAGTTTGTTATGGGATTATGCCTTATCTAGTTCCTTGACGCGCAAGACTCGAAACAGCCGCTACTATTCTAACGCCTAAAATAAAGGTCATTAGTAAAAGTAGCAAGTTGGTGATTTTGTTAAAGGCATTTTTTTCATAATATAATATATGATGCTATGGATAAACGCACAAATTTTTTAAAACATTCATTTTGTGTAAAAAACTATTAAAATGTAAATTAAAGATAATTCAACCAATCATTCAAAACACTGTAAAATATAATTGGTTAAACATTTTATATTATGAAACAATGTAAATCTTCTAAAACATCATATATTACAAAATGGAGGGAGTAATATTATTGCTCAATGATTATAATGTCTCCAAAATGAACTGAAAATATTATTGACTAAGAATCTGAGATAGATAAAAAAGGTCATGGTTCCGGTTTTTATTTATATTTTGTTACATTATTCCAATAATAATCTCTCTTCCATGATGAAACAAAACAATTTAGGGCTTATTTGTGTACTAGCTATATTTGAAAGAGAAATTAGGTGAATAGTAATGATTTTGACATAATTTGATGTCAGACACTTGTACCACAAATCATCCGGTTCTGCCCTTTCAATTAACAAGTTTCCAGTTGCAGGCGAAAAATCAAAAAGTAGATGACGTTGTTCCTTTTATGATGTATTTACTATCACGTCACACATTTTGTAACCACATATATGTATATCGAATATTCTATTCCATATTGCCGAAATAGTAAAGAATTATAACTCAATTCACAATCCTTTAACACTAAATATTATCTCAACTTCTTTTACTATTGCTATCACTAAACCCAAACTTTAAACCCCACTTTCCAAATACTAAACCCCAAATCTTTATCACTAAACCCTAAACCCAAATATAGATCATAAACCCAAATAGAAAGAAACAAAATACATAGAATAGTACATATTGGTGAGCAAAATATAACACTTTTTATTAATACTAAACCCTAAATCATAATTAAACTCAAACCTCAACCCCCACCTTCCAAATACTAAACCCTAAATCATAATTACTAAACCCTAAACCCAAGTATAAATCATAAACTCAAATAGAATAGAACGAAATAGATAGAATAGTACATATTAGTGAACAAATTTAAACACTCTTTATTAATCCATTGTATTTTATATAGAAACGAACTTTTTATATATCAAATATTACAATGATGAAGAACGGTAGTGTATTCAATACATATCATGCAACTTTATCTCACATAAAATAGTTTATCAATCGATTCTATCTCAAATAGAATAGTTTGAACATATAATATTTTCTATTCTACTTCAAATAAAATATGCATAAAAGATCTCACGCATACAAGTTGTATTGCAGCTGCTATTCAATACAACAAACGAAATTGACCATAATGCAATGTTATTCCACACAGTAACCACCACCGATTGGGAGCCGATTTCATTACCGGAGGAGAGGACGAACTTGATAAGCATGAAGAAGATGTGAAGATTTGAGGTGAAGGGGTGGAGGACGGTTAAACACGATTTACAGTTCCTGCCCGAGTAAATTAAAATAATTTAATTTCTTTTAGCCGGTGAAACCAGTTTAGGATAGGGATAATATGACCATATTATACAAAACAAACGGCGTGAGTTAATCTGTTAGGGTTTTTGGCTAATAGGCTAAATATGAGTTTTTGTTTGGCTATTAAGCCCAATTTCCCAACAATTTATTAGGAAAAAAAAGCAGAAGAAACAAAACAATTCATCACATCATTCTCGCGTTCTATATAAAAACTTGCCCAGCGCTAAAGTCAACCACAAATACATCAAAAGAATTAATACACATGCGTGAGTACAACGTGTTACACAAATTCCATGTGAGTTTTTACATGATCAAGAGACCACTTGGCAAAATCAGTCTAACATGTTAAACTCTTTTTGCTGCACTAGTTTTTATTGGCAAAGTCAGCCTACCAAGTTAAGTCAAAGCTCAAACCTGTGTATATCTATACACATCATGTATATACGTCTACCCATATGATGATAGTAGTCTCCACACCTGGTGCACCACGATGGTCATTAATGCCTCAAGTCATGACTTGTTACATCCCAAATCGAACAAATAAATTTGATCATCTTAACCAGTATAAATCACAATATTATAGCCCCTAGAGTTTAGGGCAAGGTGTGACCGAGTTTATTTATTGCTGTTGAAGATCAAACCATTGACTTGAGAATATGTTGTCGTCTTCATCAAGATCAAGCAAACTATCTAAATCAAAATAAGTGTTTGTGTTCGAACCTGGTCCCCATTCTTCCTTCACCACATGGCTCCCTATAATCATGTTAACATGCTCCGCCGTATGTTCTTGGTAGGATTCTTGAGGTGGAGGCGGTGGAGCAGGAATATTAGCTCTCTTTGTCTTTTTCTTAGAACTGGTTTTGGTGATATCCGGTTTTCCGGTCAGACTTTGGACGAGTGTACGGAAGTTCTTGACGTCGGTGTTAATAATCTCCGGCGCAAATATATGGATGATACGGATCTTAGGCTTGATTTTGGTGACTATTTGGGAGTTCTTGTTCAATGGAACCAATGTTTTTGAATGATTTCCATAACACCTTTGATGAGGGAGATGATCAAGATTGTATTCAGCCTTCATTGAACTTCTCACCATTTTAGACAATATTTGGATTTTGTTTGGATTAGATTAAAGGTTTATTGTATTGTTTTGAGATATAATATGCAAATGTTTTGGACTATCTGCGCATGTATATATACAAACAAAAGGCTGTGGATATGACGATAGGATAAACAATTATATTGTTGGTTCGTCAAAAACATTTATTAACTACAAACTGAATATAAAAAAAATACTAAGAAGTATAGGACGAATTATAATGAACCTGCCCTCCATTACACACATAGCAACAACTTGATTTTAATAAGCTGTAATTTTCCCAAAGAATGATCTGTTTCTTTTTCCCATGGAATTAAAATAATCATCAACTTTCCAGCTGATATTTAAAAAACATCGAGTAGATGGCGTGAGCGATGTTTTACTTTATTATTTAGGCGGAGTTGACTTAGCTTATCGACTTTACCCTGGGATGCTAATTTGACTTTTTTATTTACAACTTTTTCATTATGATGGAACTTTTTTATTTTATGCTAATAATGTTTCAAAGATCTGAAGTTAATTATTAGAAATTTTGATTTGATGTCAAGAAAAGAAGAAATTTTGATTTAAAGATTAATACTGCGTACTAAAGATATTCACATCCGATGCACAAAATAATCAACTTTTTACACTTTGGTAAAATTAGTTTCTGAAAATCTTATTTACATAGCTTCGAAAATATGATTTCTTCTAGTTGTAAGTATCTATATTGAACACTCTTTGAGTAACTTAATAGGGTTTCTTCTAGCTGTAAGTATATGATGTGTGTAACATTGACTTCGTTAGATTTTTTTTTTGCCAGTTCAAAAAAAAAAACTATATTTTTACTATGTGACCTACAAATAACTTAACACACACGACAGACACTCGTTACACGTGATATTATGTGTTCAAGTCTGCACGTGCAAGTCTTTTGTTTGATGTTATTCCATTACACTGATAACTGGAGCTTCGAAGGTCAAACAAATGTAATGGCCGATAATCATACGGAGAGGTCACACAATTTCATTAGCCAAATTAGTAAAATATTAGTATACTTACATCAATCGAGTTTTAAATGCTCACTACTTGAATGTTGTATCAACCTAGTTTAAAGGTCAAATTTATTTAATGCCCAGAATAAAATATTATTTGAAATTAGCGTGTTTGGTTATATAAAATTTTATACAGCTTTGACATTTGTATATAAAACATACTTTTTAATCTTTGTTTAATGTTTATACGCGGTATTGTAGAGTTCATACCCTCATATTTAAGAGAAGAAGAAAGATTGCTACAATAAGAAGTTGATGCCATGTATATCTATATATATAAAGTCAGGGGAGAATTTGTCAACTAACCAAATTTTCATTAGAAATTAAGAATATAGTTTTGATTGTGACATAATTAAGTGCATAACAATTTTTGACCAATTTTGTCCGGTTTCACCCTTTATTTTTGTAAGTTACCTGTAATAAAAGAGAGGTGACAACAGAGAGGAAGTGATGCCATCGATGATTTGTAACATATGAAAAAAATAAAAACTGTACGATTGAAAACCAAACATATAACATAATGACATTCAATTAATCACCACATACAGAAGTTTAATTTGTTAAACAAAAGATGGAGGAACAAGTGGTGAAATAATGGAAGCTAAGTGAAAACATGTTTTCATAAATAAGATATAATGTGAAATATTTTAAATAGTACAATTGGTCCATTCATATATATACGTAGACTAATTAACTAGAACATCATATATATAAAATAGTATAGAATTTATAGTAAATTGATGGATAAAATTGTATTAAAATTCTATAAATAATATAATCATAAACTTTAATATAACTCCACATCCACACTTAAATATTAAATCCTAAACCCTAATTATTACTCTACCCTCACGTTTAAATATTAACCCCTAAATCATAATTAATAAACCCTAAACCCTAATAATAACTCCACCCTCACGTTTAAATACTAAACCCTAAATCTTAATTAATAAACCTTAACCCCTAATTATAATTCCACCTTCATATTTAAATACTAAACTCTAAATCCTAATTAATAAACCTTAAACCCTAATTATAACTTTACCATCATGTTTAAATACTAAATCCTAATTAATAAACCCTAACCCCAAATATAAAATATAAAATATAATATATAATTATAATATTTCTAATATAATTAAAATCTGAAAAAATTACAATAAAAATAGAATGGAACATATCACATGGTATAGTACATATTTATTCAAATAGAATAATATATTAGAAAATAAATTTTGTCTACCAGTGTACATCTAAGCATGCTTCTAATAATCATATGTATCCAACATAATATTAAATAAAAAAATTATTATTTTAAGCATGTGAACATACTCTTCCATCATACAAGATTATGCAAATGAAAACATAAATATAATGGACTATACTAAAATAGTATAGTACATGTCGAGTAAATTATCAAATGGTTTAAAAATACTATACTATATATATGTTAAATTCACAAATAGAATAGAACTCAATTTTACACTCACTATATTAAGATATAATGATAGTTATGAAGGATCGGTGGGTACATAGGAAAGATATAGAGGTTACAGACTTGGTGGTGTTCGTAGTGGCGGTGGTGTTTACAACAGTGGATGAAATCATTAAACATTAAGTGGTCTTGTTTTGGATGAAATTATGTTCGTGGATATAGAAAGACACATGATAGTGGTCATGGTGATGATACTATGGTGAAGGATGATGTGATAACTGTGAGTTTTGAATAAACAATAAAGGTTACGAGAGGATTACCAGAGAAAAATAAAGCAAAAAGACATATAGATAAATAATGAGGGTAATATATTGTATAAATATGTGAAACTCTTTATTTTTTGGTTAGTTTCTTAATTAAAGTTTGTTTGATGGTCACTGAATGCAATTTCTCTAAAGTCAGTGCCGGCCCATGAAATATGAGGACCAGAAGCTTAAAAAAAAAGAGCCGTTTGAGGTTCGAACGCTACCTTTGAAACTATATATGGTAATCTCTACCATTACACTATAAGCAAATTGTTGTTAATTTTTGGCCGGTACAATATATATAATTTTTCGGGTTGGAAGCTCAAGCTTGTAATGCTTGGTGTTAGGGCCGCTACTGTATAAAGTATGGTTCCTGCCACGTCAGAAATTAGTCTCCTGAAATTGCAACACATGTCCCAGTCGTGAAACTCACCGTTTCATTTAATCAATTGCATGATGGGCCTAAATATTTTAACGTGTTGTGTGTTTGGGCCGATGAATGGGGTTCACCTCAAACCCTAATACCGGAGAAACAAGAAAAGAAGTTTTTCTCTCCTTGGCGTGCGACGGTGAGTTCGTGACGTTTGCGCTTCGATTCGCTATCTGAAACGGTCTGAGTAATGGTTTTGTGTTTAATCCTATTGACTCGCCCAAGATGAGGCCTTCAATGTGTCGTTTAGATCTGCGTGGTGTGTTTTCAGTATAAATATGTGAGTGTTTCTCTTCTTGAACGCATCCTCTCTTTGTATCTCATTCATCAGTTTATTCTTCTAAATCATTTCCCCAAAAAATCAGAGGCTGAAATGGAAAAAGCTTTTAAATTATTAGCCGTTTCGAATACCGACATCACCGTGGAAGTGCGTCTCATGATATTTTGGGAGGCTCAAGGCAGCGAGCTTATACGTTCGTTAAGCTTTTTGTTTTAGTCTCGAGGATGGTGTCTCCTTTGGGTACCTTGATCAGTTTTTTTTTTTTTTTTCTCTGAGTCAATCATGTATTCAAACTAAGAATTCATGTTTGTTTACTTCTCTGTTTAGCTTTTCATTTTTATTATTTTTTTTCTCACCAGCTTCTGATGTTTCTTTTGGGATTTCCAGCAAATAAGTTGTAAAGTTCTTTCTTTTTTTGTCAAATTAGATCGACTGTACGTCTTTTAAAGACTCTAATGCAATCAATGCTTTGAGGACATTCCTTTGGATTCTTTTTTTAGGTATATGTATAGATATTCATAGTTGGATCTGAGTTTCTTAGTAAACTGAATATTTTTTTTTTTTGAAAAAGGTGATTAAAAACAGTTAACTCATACTTTGTTTAGTTTGGTTCTACCGACTTTCAAACTAACCACCAGCTTCAGGTACCAATGAAAGTATTAAATCTGAATAAGTTGGCTTTAGAATTCTAATCTTGGTTTACAATGCTTTGTCTTAATCTTCCTTTTTAACTTGTAGGACAGCTATCAAGTTTTCAACTTGAACAAACTAACTCTTAATGGCAGAATCTTAGAGCTTTATTCCTTTTCAGGGCACAAGGAATGATGTCATTTGGAGACTCACATAATACTAGCATGCATGGTTGGATCAGTGGTTTCATAACTGGATTTAGGTACGTTCATGTCTCTTCTCTTTTGCTTTTACAAAAAGTGTTGTTGCTTGAGAGAGATGAGGTTGATATTCATTATTCATTTATGAAAACTCTATGATTTTAGCACAAACAACATACACTTTGCATATTCGGTTCCTGTAACTATATCTGGAGAACAGTTAGCGAGAGATACTGGTACATGAAATCATGGTTCCATCTAAACATCAAGGTTGTTCAATGCTAAGGTATGCCTTTGCTTCACTTTCTTCACTCATATTCAACCTTAAACTGAAGCTTATTTAGATATCAGTAGAGAACTTTTCAGTATATGATAATGTATGTGTTTGCAAGAATTTGTCTCTGCAAGACGTTAAGCGAGATAGTGTTAGACTCCACGTCTTTTCATTGATCTAATTAAGCTGGGAGTTTTAAATCTATCTGATCAGTTCAATATCCTTTTATTTGTTAGATATGCTCTTCATTGATATTTTGATTAAAGTCAATTCGGTGAAGCAAAAGCAAGAGAACTGAAGGTGAAGCAAGTCCACCTGGCTAAGGCCAAAGATGATATCAATCCCAAATTTATAAATGTATCTGAACGTGAGAAAAGATAAGGCCAAGGAAGTAATCCTAGATGTTGAGTGGAGGTACGTAATTTTTTCTCACTCTACTTTTTTGTTGTTGTTAATGATGTGTGTTGTTTGTTTCGAATATTCATCTAATGACTTTACATGGCATAACTTTGAGGAAAACAAATTCATACCACAATTATCAAACTGAAAGTGATGAATCCCATAACAGTAGATTATAGTTAAACTGGGAGGCTTTGTGATGTTTTGATCTCACTTTTATGTATATGTTCATGATGGGTTGTCTTAGCTCATAATTTTATTTTCTCTTTCAGGGATGCAAGTGTCCTCACCAGTGGCATGTATGGCGACATAGCTGATGGTACCATTACTGAAGGCAATCTGAAGACAGAAAAGCTCACACACTACATTGAGCATCCCCATCCCATAGAGCCACCTGCAGAAGCAATGCCTCCACCACCTCAGCCTCTTAAGCTGACAAAAGAAGGAACAGCAGAAACTGTGAACCCAGAGACGTCTAGCCAAACTTTTTACACATCTTAAATAAAGAAATTTTGAGTGATAAAAGTTCAAATCTGTTAGACAAAACAAAAACTAAAAAAAAAGTTAAAACTTACATTTTCAGAAAATTGTCTAATTATTAATATATATATATATATATATATATATATATAATACTGAAACAAATAGAAAATAGACAAAAATGAATATTATAGAAAATCCCGGGCATAGCCCGGGCCGACCCTAGTATATTATACAATTACTTAGTGCAGCTACTTTGGCTAGCAGTTAAGTATATAGACTGAAGAACCTAACAAAAAAATAACTAATTTGATTGAAAATTAATCACGTAAGAAAAATTATAACTAGGTTTCGGAGAAATAATACTCCAGAATTGAAAATCATAAAACATTCATCAATTATTGCGTTAAAGTAGAAATCATGATTCGACTTTGACAAAAAAAAATCTCAAAAATAAACTGCTCGAGTCAGAGCATATCAGAGCACCATTGGCGGTGATCTCTAAGCTAAGTCTCTCATAAACTTAAATTATATAATACAATAAAGTAAGAAAAAAAGAGTGAAAAGATGAGAGATGGCTCTATGCAGAAAAAATATTACAAAGATGGGAAGAACTTAATTCTACAGGTGTTGCATCTCTAATTGTGTAATTGCCTTTTATTTGTTTAAATTTACTTAAATAACTAAATTGAACAAAAATATTAATATAAAGCGTATGAAGAAATGTTGAAAGAACTCAAACGCTGCTGATGCTCTAATTATGGGAGGTGAAAAAGGGGAGTGCTTATGACAAATTAATATAATACTTGGTAGGCCCTATAATATTTTGAGCATCTGACACTTCCAGCTGCGTTTTGGTTGATGCTTGTATTGTTGGCAGACTCTACTAACCCCAGACGGTTTACAAATTTTTTTTTTAATTTTTTAATGAGATAAAATAAATAAAAAAGAAAAAAAATAAACACAACCAAATTGGGTACTGAGATAAAGATGCTCTCATGTTCCGCTCTATCTCTCTCACTCCTAACCTCATCTCTTCATGACGACGAGCAGCTTCTCTTTATGCTCTTTCTTTTACATAATTTTATATGTAAAATGTAAGACTGGTAATTCGTAAATTCGTTGTTCTTTTATTGGTTAGACACACAGCCTTGTGATTTGTACTAAAACATCAATGCATTGTCAACATATTCTAAATCCTTATAATCCAAATTGTATAGTGTTCATAGTCTAAGGTACATCCATATACGTCATATAATGTATGGTATTGTATGTTCTGTTGACATATGCTACTTTTATTTTGCCGATTAGTTTATATGTCGTTTGATAATGCAAGTTTTTTTTTACAATTGACCAAGGGCAAAAACTATAAAATATGTGATATGTCTAAATATTTTATTTATGGATCGTATAGCAGGTGTTTAAAAAGAGGATCGTTACACAATGATTTTACATTGAAACAAACACACTTCGAGTAAATACAACGATAATCTTACAACACCCAAAAGTCGCTTTGGCCGAGTGGTTAAGGCGTGTGCCTGCTAAGTACATGGGCTCTGCCCGCGAGAGTTCGAATCTCTCAGGCGACGATATTTTTCCTTTTTTGTTTGGTGTGAGTGTGACATACCCGTATTTTTCCTTACGTAACGCTGCATAATTATGTAACGTGCCTTCTCGTGTAAGCAATAAATTAAAGACCAAAAAGTAAAAACACTCTGAGACAACAAGACAAAAGAGAGACTCAGAAAAATCACAACCACCGTCTGAAAGATTACGTTTTCAATTGTACTCTTATCCGATATGGGCCAGCATTTGTAAGTACGCTAATAGATTCCAGTAACCAGAACCATAAAGATCTCAACTTCTTCTAAAGAATCTCTGACAAATTGCTATCAAGATTCCCACCTTATACACTGCTCTTTCCAAGCAAAACTCCAAACTTTCCCCATAAAGCCGTCACCCAAATCTGGTAAGAAACTCAACATGTCCGCATGATTTTTTTTTTTTTGTTTCCAGACCATTCTATAAACACTCTGTCTCTGTTGATCACTTCAATTTTATACATATTTTAATTCCCAATTTCAAAGATTTTATAATAGTTTTCTCAGGTTTTCAACCAAAAGAAAACATCGTATGAGCACATAATGACGGTGGAAGAAAGGTATTAAAGTAAGTGGGAAGAGTGTACAAACTGAGATCAGCTTCTCTTTCTGCCTTTTCCCTCCTTTAAGGGAAAATACATCTGTTGCTTTTTTTGGACAATCTTCTCCATATCAATCTTTCATTACAAGGGTTTTACTTGGGAGTTGATTCTGAGTTTCAGGTACGAGAAAGCTCTTTGCTTTGTTCATGTGTCTGAAATTTTCCCCATATTCCTCTGTTTTCTAGGTCTGAAATTAGGGTTTGGAAACTCAATTTCAAATCTATAAATCAATCCCTCATTAAAAGGGTTTGATTGGGAGTTGATTCTAGGTTAGAAACAAGAAAGCGCTCTGCTTTAAACCTTCTTTGTTCATGTGTCTGAAACTTTCAACTTTCCTCTGTTTTCTAGGTCTTAAAGTTCCTTTCTTTGCCTGTCTGAGTGAGATCGACCTTATTGAGAAGCTTGATGATTTTTTGATAGGGAATTTTCATACCCTAGATTGATCGAAAAATCTTTGGCTGGAAAATTGAGAAAATGGCTGGAGGGAGTGAAGAGGATCCATACACAAAACCTATAGGAAGATGGTCTGTGTTCTTCTATGGCGTTGGCCATATGCTTAATGACATCACTGCTTCTTGTTGGTTCACTTACCTCCTCCTCTTCTTGACCCAAATTGGTCTCTCTCCAAGGTGATATTGCATCTAAATTTCATGAACATTTGATTTGTGATGATCCGATCATAAAGTTCTTTTTGGTCTTGTGTAGAGATGCAGCCATTGTTATGCTCTCTGGTCAAGTTGCTGATGGGTTTGCCACTATCTTCACTGGTGAATTGGTACCATCAATAACTTTAAGACTTCTCTGTTTCTAATTTAGCCTTGTGCAATGTGGGGGTAATCTAACTAGAGTTAGAACAAAATTGGTGTTGTGTAATGACAGATAGATAGGTTTGGACATTTCAAGATTTGGCATGCTGCAGGATCAATACTTGTTGCAATATCTTTCTCCTCTGTTTTTGGAGGTTGTCTGCCTTGTTCCATCCTCCATAACGAGTCTTTAAGCCTCGAAACTTTCTCCTATAGCATGTTTGCAGCTATCTTTAACATAGGATGGGCTGCTACTCAAGTTTCCCACATGTAACTTCATCTCTCTCACCTCTTTCACTTTCATAGTTTTATCCACATCATTCACCTTTTTCCTGGTGGTCCTTGTGCTTGTTGTGACTTGTGTGTGTTTCTTAATTACTCTTCAGGGCTATGGTTAATTGCATCTCGTTGAACTCAACAAGCAGAGTAGCCTTGACAAGCTGCCGGAATGCCTTTACCATGGTCAACCTCTTCCCTTGAATCAATGTTTAGTACCAAATATGTTTAGGAATGACTAAATTGGTGTTCTTGATTTGCTTTTTTCAGGTTGCTAATCTTAGCTTATATGCGATTGCTTTAGTAGTCTTCGGCGTTATCAAGGCTGGTTCCAAAGAAAACACTGAAACACAGGTTTCATACTTTGTGTTGGCTTCTCCAGTATGTATATATATATTTAATATTGATTCCATGTTCTTCTCCTTTTAACTCTGCAGTATCGCTGGATTGCATATACATCCATCACAGTCGGATGCTGTTTTGTGGTCATATTTCTTATGGGAACAAAGGAGCCACGGTATCTATCTATATGCTCAATCCTCTTAAAAAATATTTTCTTGGTTTTAAAAGTAGATTTGTAAATGCATTTTGATGCTTAAAGGCTGAGGATGGACTTGAAAGAAACTAGCCGCCGAGTGAGAATACCGTGGGTCTATTGGTTCAAGAAACTTCTCTACTATCAAGTCGCTATGGTTTACCTCCTCACTCGATTAGTATTGAATGTCTCTCAGGTTTGTTCCTGTCTTCTCTCTTGCTTCTACCTATGCTCAAACTAGGATAAGTTCTCACACAAGGTGTTGTGGTTTATCCTTTTTCAGGCATATCTTGCCTTCTTCGTTATCGATGACTTGCAAATGGATCAATCCGCTAAAGCTTTGGTAATATATTCAAGAAGATCATTTTAGTCTCTATATAAACTAACTCTCTGATCAAATGGTAATGTGCTTCAGGTTCCTGCAATAATCTATATTGGAAGCTTTGTTGTTTCGGTCCTGCTTCAGGTTAACTAGTGAATTACATTCTTCAGTTATGTCCAAAAGCTTTTTCTCACGGTGTGTAAAAATGTAGGAGATACCGTGGAATGGGAAACGGCTAAAGGCGTATTATTCAGCTGGTGGTATCATTTGGATGTTCTGTGGTGCAGCAATCCTTCTATTGCCTAGAGACATTAGTTCTTTCATGTATGCTATATCAGTCTTCATAGGCATCGCAAATGCGTTGATGATGGTATAAACGATAACGCCATAAGTTCTAAATCATGCTCATATCATCTCTTATGTATCTAAATTAATATTCATGCGACACAGGTTACAGCAATCAGTATGCAGAGCGTGTTGGTTGGTGCAGAAGTAGGTGGATGTGCATTTGTCTGTGGTTCTTTGAGCTTTTTAGACAAAATGTCTTGTGGACTTGCTTTGTATATTCTTCAATCTCACCAAAGTAAGTTCCGTTTTAGCACACCGCAGCAGAACCATTCATTCCTCTACGTTAGCTGTTTTACTGAAGATGTTTTTGGGTTTGCACTTGTAGGTACGTCACCTAGAACTCAACTAAACAACGGCCATCAAAGTATTTACCTCTCGGTTACAAGATACGGTTTAGGCCTTGTTCCAGGTTTATGCTCGCTTGTTGGTGTTGTTGTAACATTCTTTATGGAGCTCGAAGCTGCTGGGTCACTATCCATGCCCCTGCTTGATGAGCCGTTACTTGAATGACAGTTTATTGAACATGGTTGACTGCAGGTCCATTAATCTTTTTTTACTACATATGGGAAGTCTCCAGATTCTTTAGACGATAACTTTGTACATAAGTTATATCAACACTGTGACAGTAATTTACTTGTGTCTAAAGAAATGTGGATCTAAATCTGGAATTTCGAGTTTGATTAATTGTTTTGCCTTTTTGGTTTGTCTTTTGTATTTTTGGTTTGTTTGTGTGTAAAACGTGAAAATAGTGTGTTGTTACTGCTGTAAACTAGCAAGATCCAAACGTTATTTGGAAATGCAATACAACACTTTTTGACACTGAATTTATTATTCTATTACTACAAATTATTAAAATATTTAATAATAATTTGTTTGACTAAATTTAATAATAGTTTTAGATCGATATAAAAATTATCTTTGTAAGGATTTACATATGAAGCTTGAACTTTTTTTACAAAGATCCAGGTTTTACAATGCTAAGAATTTATTGATCTGTTTTTTTCTTTATTAATCTATAAAATGATCAATAAATCATTTAATCTGGAATTCTAACCCAAAATATGTTGGTCTACAAACAATAAATAAATTTTTTGATCAAGTGTCCAACAACAGTAAAATTATTCAACCCGGAGCACAAATTCTAAAACCAAATAGAAATGTTCTTAACCGGGTTTCCGTGAAAGATTCGATTGTTGCATACCGGGTTTTCAAGTCTAAGCCTTCTCCTTTCTCCAAAAACCCTAATTTTGGGAGCACGTTGCAGTCAGGTCGCGCACCCCCTGAGAATCGTCACCGATGAATCCCATAAGTTCATCTTCTCGACGAGCTAATTAACCATCTATCCCCCTGCCATTTCGCCTCTCCAGGTTCGTAACAACATTTTTGATTCCCTTCTTCCTCCTGTGGATTAAATCGAAATTAAAAAAAAAAAGATTGAAACTTTACAGGAAAGATCGCAGAAAAATAATGGGGATTGAGCTCAGATATGAACTTTGCACTTGTTTTCACCACAAATGTAGTTCGTAAAGCTTATCGCTTTCTCTTCCCCTCCAGAAGATTCTGCAACGGCAACTTCAATAATACTGACGAAGAATCCGATTTAGGGTTTCCTCATTTAGAAGATCGAGAAGAAACCTCTGTTCGGAGTGCGTCTCGTGTTCTCGAGGCATTACAGCGAGAAGACCCTGTTTTCAACACAAAGTCATCAGCTTTAGATGAACTGAATGTTAGACTCTCAGGGCTTCTCGTTAGAGACGTTCTTGTAGGGATCTTGAGAAACTTGCGTTGTGATGATGATAATAACAAGACTAGATGTGCTAAAGCAGCTTACAGATTCTTTAATTGGTCTAGAGAAAAGGAATGTTTCAGGCACACGGTTGATTCTTATCATTTGCTTATGAAGATATTTGCGGAGTGTGGTGAGTATAAGGCAATGTGGAGGTTAGTTGATGAGATGGTTCAAGACGGGTATCCGACGACGGCCAGGACGTTTAATCTCTTGATTTGTAGTTGCGGTGAAGCAGGTCTTGCGAAACAAGCTGTTGTGCAGTTTATTAAGTCTAAGAGTTTTAACTACAGGCCTTTTAAGCATTCTTATAACGCGATTTTGAATGCTCTGCTTGGTGTGAAGCAGTATGGTTTGATTGAGTGGGTTTATGAGCAGATGATAGAAGACGGGTTTTCGCCGGATGTGGTGACTTATAATGTCCTCATGTGGACAAACTATAGGTTAGGGAAGATGGATAGATTTGATAGGCTGTTTGATGAGATGGGTAGAGATGGTTTGTGTCCAGATTTGTATACGTTCAACATTTTGCTGCATATCTTGGGGAGAGGGAACAAACCGTTAGCTGCGTTGACTACATTGAACCATATGAAGGAAGTTGGGATCGAGCCGAGTGTTATTCACTTCACTACTTTGATAGATGGTCTGAGCCGTGCAGGGAATCTAGAAGCGTGCAAGTACTTTCTTGATGAGATGGTGAAAGTTGGGTGCACGCCTGATGTTGTTTGTTACACGGTTATGATCACAGGGTATGTTGTAGCCGGAGAGCTGGAGAAGGCCAAGGAGATGTTCAGTGAGATGACAAGTAAAGGGCAGTTGCCGAATGTTTTCACATACAACTCGATGATTCGTGGGTTGTGTATGGCTGGAGAGTTCAGAGAGGCGTGTTGGTTGCTAAAGGAGATGGAATCTAGAGGGTGTAACCCGAATTTTGTAGTGTATAGTACATTGGTGAGCTGTTTAAGAAGAGCAGGGAGGCTTGGAGAGGCTCGCAAAGTAATAAGAGATATGGTGAAGAAAGGACATTATGTTCATTTAGTTCCAAAGATGATGAAATATAGGAGATGATGTAAGTGGTATTGTTTTCTCGTTTTTTGTTAATTGAGGTTGTTGTTTCTCTCATTTGCCATAGTTTTGTAACTTGCATTCTTGTTCTTTTCTCAAAGAAAGTTTGATCACTGATAAGTTAAGTTTTTTTTTTAGTAGTTTAACTTCTCAACTAAAGATGAAATGCAAAATAAACTCTTAACTAAAAATCCAGTAAAATAAACTCTTAACCAAAAACCTTGTAAAATAAACTCTTAACTAAAAACCCTGTAAAATAAACTCTTAACTAAAACCCATGTAAAATAAATTCTTAACTTTAGCTCCATTAATGCATGTTACCTTCCGTCTAAAATACTGTGATGGATGGTGACATGTGTTAACGGTTTATAAGTTGAGGGTTTAAAATATTAAAATCTTAGTTGAGGGGATTTTTTGCGATTCAAGCATAGTTGAGGGCTTTTATCATTAAAAGTTATTCAATGTTTTAAAGTCTTTACTAGGTGGACGGCCTGCACGCCTGTGCGGACATTAATATAATCTATACATTGCATGCATAAAAAATAATATAAATATATTGTAATTTTTTTTCTTTTACATAGATACTATGTTTTTTTTAATATATTTTTCTATCTTACTCATTTCGTTTCTACTTGTATTTTTTCACACATTTGTTTTGTTTCTTATGTATCTCTCTTTGCATTATTTTTGTATGTCTTTGTACACCTCTCTTACTCTCTTTTTCTTTCTCTCTCTCTTAGTTGATCAAATAATTTCAAAATCTCTCAAACTTACATTCACTCTCTCACAATCATATATATTCATTCGCTTACCCTCGTCCATAATATGATTCTCAATATTTCACTTTAAAACTCTTTCTATCTCTCTTTGGTTGCAAAATTTTCATCAGATTTTGTTAAATCTTCTAAACACTTTCACATAATATTAATAAATAATTTCAGAATTTATCTCACTTATATTCAGTCTCACACTTATATTCACTTTCATCTTCATTATGATCATAATCGACTCTCTAATCCTTATCATCACCATATTTCCCTCTCTTTCCCCCTTTCTTACATATTTTTTTATTTAGAATTTCATATAAAATCACAATTGACTAACCATATAAAATCATTATCAAATTCTCTCCAATCTTCACACTATCTTATCAAACATTGATTCCCTTGACCAAGATTTTCATTGAAAAATAAATATCTTATTATTAATTTTTTATTACTTCATTACATACATATTTTAAGTAAATCTAAATAGCTGTATTTCAAAAAAATTAAATTTGATTAAATAATTATATAACATAAAATATCTTAATTCTTAAATGATGTGATGTCATTATTTTAGACATAGATTAATATAAACATGAGATTCAACATTTTTAGTATATCAAAATAACATGTTTCTAGTTGTATAAATTTTGTTATAACTTTGTTATCATATATTTTAAAAGTTTATTACACCGCAAAAAATACTTATCACTATTTTAAAATAATTTATTTTAAATTTAATTTTCGTTATATTTTGCATCTTCAACATTAACAATTTTAGAAGTTATCATTTATATTTATCTTCCTTGATTAATTTTTCTTTATGTTGTATAAACACCTAAAAATAATTAGTTTACAATTATATTGATACGTAAAAAATATTTTGGTATACAAATAAAAAATTATGTATGTACAAATACAAAATAACGAAGAATACAACAAAAAGTTTTATTATTATTCACTCATGTTTTTATTTATGTCTCTTTTCTTTTTTTCTTATTAAAAATAAACATGCCAATTTTATTATACTTAAAGCTATATGAACTATATGAATAGAATATTAACTCTAATCATGTATTAATATAATGTTTTGATTTTTTTAATTTTATATTATAATAAACTTTTTCATTTTTATTCATATTTTTTAAAATGACATACCATTAATTTTCTGTTTTAAATATAAAAACTAGATTTTGACCCGCGCTTTTAAAGCACGGGTTTATTATATTTTTTGATAAAATTTATTTGAATTAATAAATTTTATTTTAACACGAAATTTTTTTTCTACTAATATTAAAATGTTCTATTATCTTGTTTGATTTTCACGTATTGTGTGTTTTCATATCTCATTTAGACCATAGTTGAACCGGTATATCCAACAATTTTTGTATAGTCCAGTAAGATTTAATGAAATTTTATTAATTAAAATTTTGATAAGACTGGTAAATATGCAAAAACCCTCTATTAATCCGAAATATAAAATTTGTAGATCTGCTAACAATCCCATAAAAACTGATAACATTTTTTAAAAAAATAGGAAATAACACATACTTTAAAATTAAAGAAAATTGATTTTTTGTAATTTCTTAGAATTTATTTTTATTTGAAAATTGAAACAATGGTAAATAGAAGAAAAATATTTATATAACAATATATGTTTTTCATTATTAATAACCTATGATTACTTTACATTTTTACTTATTAAATATCTAAAAGGTAATTTATTTTAAAAATTTGAATTGGTATATCCATATTATGACATAGTAAATAATAATATTTAATTTTTGATCGCTAAATGATATTATGCATGAAAATAAGATATTAAAATTAAAAGAAAGTTTAAATTGCATAAAAATAAATTATTATTAAACACAAAATCAGAAATTATTAATTACCATAAATATAGGAGTGATTTAGTTATTTAGTTTAAATAAATAATAATTATATTAAAATTAAATGCTAGTGGCATATCTTTGTAAATAATTCAAAAACTATGGGCAGAATCCTATGAGGGATTCTGCTTTAATAGTATAGATACTTAAATCTATTATATTAAAAGAGAAGTCATGACTCACTTCATGTGTGATATTTTAGTTTGGACCATCTTTAGAGTTTTATAAAATTTTACATAACATTATAATATCTTTTCATATCTTTTCATATCTTTTCATATCTTTAATTTTTGTTTGAAATACAAATAAATAGTTTTAAGAAAATTCTAACAAAATCTTTTAGAATCTTTTTCACGATATAGTTTCAAAATTATTTAATTAAAATTTTAATTATCATAAAATATAATTATCATAAAATATAATTAAAATTTTAATTCATTTTTAATTTATAAACAAAAAATTAAAATTATGTAAAATACTTTTAACAATATCCCAAAATTTTGTTTATGTATTATGTAGGTCCAACTTAATTAATTTTTACATAGATTTCAAATTTAAAAATAAAACAAAATATATAAATTAGTAATCTTAATAATAATATTTTAAAAAATTATTACAAAAATAAAAATTTATAAATTTTATATTAATAATATTATAAGTCACATAAAAATGATTATGAAATTGGATAGCATAAAGAATCAAGTTATACTTATTTATTGATAAATTTTATTATATAATTTCAAATATTTTCGTATTAAAATACCCGCACGGTTGTGCGGGTCGAAATCTAGTAATTTTTGAAAGTAATAACTCAATTATACTATCGACATTTATCTCTGGAAAATGATAGATTTTTTTTAAAAAAAATTACATTTGACAGTTTTGCATTCATTGAACATATTTTAAGAATACATATATATAGTGAGTGAGTATAAAAATATATTAGTTTTCTGTAATGTATGATTTTTTATCCATTATTAATAGAAAAAAAATTAAAATCGTTTATATACTTGTTTCTATAATATAATATGTATTTATATGTATATTCTAAGTTTTTATAATTAAATATGTGATATTTAATTGTTTCTATAAACAAATTCTATTAATCCTATGTATTTAAGATGGTTAATTGTTTTTTTGGTAATATATATTAGATTAGGTAATTCTAGGATCAGTTTCCTTTTGAAAAATTTTAATTAAATAAATAAAAATTCAAATGCCAACAACCAATCAAATTAAAAGAATTAATTCTACATTGCACCTATGAATGACACGTAAGCAAAATTCATTAAAGTGACTTCTCTTTTAATATATAGGGGCTTATCATTTATGCATTGTTTAAAATAGATCTATAAACTTTTAAAACTAATTTATAAATATTTATACATTACTTTATCAATTTTACAACCAATTTATAAAGCTTTCATAAATATTTTATTACTTTTACTATAAAACTAATTTTGAACTCCTAAATTAATAATTTTCAACACTACTTAAAGTTTTTAACACTACTTAAAACTCAAATTTAGTCGATATTTATCATATATATATCTAAAATTTTACAAATAATTTAAATTAAACTGTTAATAATTAAAATAAAACACTTTTAAACTCTAACATTACATTTTAAAGTTTCACATTACTTCAAAATGTTATAAAATAATAAAAATATTATTAACAAAAGATATTTAAGTAAATCATAAAATAATATATATATCCAAATGATAATAGAACATAAAAATTCATAGTTTTGGATATACAGACTTTCGGGTCATGTATATCCAAAACTATGAATTTTTATGTTCTATTTTCTATTTTTTTATGATTTACTTGAATACTTTTTTTAATAATATTTGTTTTTGTAACATTTTTAAATAATGTGAAGCTTAAAAATTCTTTATTTTATTTATTAGTAGTTTAATTTAATTTATTTGTATAACTTTAGATATATATGATAAATATCGACTAAATTTGAGATTTAGGTAGTGTTGAAAACTTTAGGTAGTGTTGAAAATTATTAATTTAGGAGTTACAAATTAGTTTTATGATAAAGACATGTATAAAGATTTATAAATTAGTTTTAAAGACCTATAAATCAATTTTAAACAATTCATAAATGATAATAAAAACTTTAAAACATTGAATAATTTTTAGTGGTAAAAACCCTCAACTGTGTTTGAATCGCAAAATAATCTCTCAGCTAAGTTTTCAACATTTTAGACCCTCAACTTATAAACCGTTAACATATGTTACCCTTCGTCACAGTATTTTAGACGGAGGGTAAAATACATTAACGAAATGAAAGTTGAGGGTTTATTTCGTAAGATTTTTAGTTAAGGGTTTATTTTGTGATTCATCTTTAATTGAGGGATTTAATTACTAAAAATCTATAAGTTAATTATATAACAATTAATAAGATAATAAGAGCACTATTAACCCGGTAGCTTTAAATGGTTGCTTA